TAGTTTCTATTATATTAACTTTTTCGAGACTAGAAGATTAAGTAAAGGTATATTCATCCAGAGAATAGATTATCACACTTTTCGGGGAACTTCTTGCGACAATGTGCCCGGATCTGAGAGCGGACTCAGAGAGAGCATTGGATGCAATTTCGAAGTATTCATAAATATTGCAAATTGTTCCTCGTAGAGATTCTCCGGTGTTTTCAACAAGGAGTGACGGAAAAGTTAATTGTTATAGCAAACGGACAGTGGCAAGCACCGTGATTTACTAAGGAAAAGGGACCCGATGCTAGCCAAAATCCGTAATTTCCTATGTGCTCGAAGCTTTCAAGATGAATAGCTGCTTCACGCTTTCTCTAGCTGTACCGGTCGTAGATAGAATTGCTCGATGAGACAGGCAATCGTGAAAGACTCACCTGAGTACGGTACTTCATTGTAGTCGTAGTTCTTGAATTTAACAGAGTGAATTAACATATTTTCTCGACGGAAATTTGTGAATCCATCGTTTGCCAGATCTGTAAAGAAGCCTTTTCGGATGCGCAGTAGGAGCAGAGACTCACAGATATTGGATACTCCCTCGCTTTTCTTTCTAATTCAGTAGCTTCGAAAAAAAAACGCCTAAAACCGTTTTCACTGTACGTACCTGATGGTAGCCTCGCAAATTGTCTGAGAAACTATCTTGCAAGTCCAGCGATCCAAACTACATAGAGGCTTGAATGGTTTGGACAGTTCCATGCCTCCAATTTTCTTCTGGAGCCCTGCAAAGAAACAAATTTAGAATAGTGGAAAGTAAAAACTGAGCCTGTAAATATATAGATTTCTATTGACTTTGTAATTTTTAGCCATTAAAAGCCATTGCCAAGCTGGAAGCAGCTGCCACAAAATTCTCCGAAGAAGAAAAAGAACACTTTGAGAAAAATCCATTCGATGATCTCTTTGAAAAGTTCTTCAATAAACAAGTAAGTTTTATTTGTTTTAGCTTGTTCCACTTGAGCTATAAAATAGAGTATCCTTTGGACACCTTTTGCTATTCCGTAGTGACCAAAAGTTAGGGGGCGCTCCTTGTTGTTGTCCTACAACTGATAGAACAGCGGCCATTCGCAAACTTATAAATAGTTTTTTGAGCCCTCTTTCTGTTGAAAAGATGTTAAACGGGCCTAATTGGGTCAGGTGCATCTGTTTATGAATTCTGAGGTGACCGTGAGCTCAACAGTGAACGTAATCATCCTGTTTGGAAAGATGGAAGGGTTCGACTATATTATGAAAAGAAAAACTAACGCTGATCAATAGATCTACCATTTTAGGATAACCTTCCCTGAGAAATCGTAAGAGAACATAAACCTACAATATTTAGTCGATTGATGCTCTATTCACAATGATGCGTTCGCTTGGAAGTAGTAGGCTGGACGACAAGATCGATCAGTTGGAAAAAATTGTACCTGAAATAATCGATATCGATCATATTAAGAACGTGACCACGTCTTTGGGTAAGTATGTAGGTTTCCAGCGTTAATGTTCAGCTCTATTCTTTGAAGGCCCACCTTGCAGTGATATGTTCTGGTGAACTTCTGATCCGATCGATAGCCTTAAGAGAATTTTGGTGGCATTGTCTTCATGGGAAGTCCTGAAGCCTGATCTAAAAAGGCGCCTCCGGTCAAACTGGGACCAGTACTGACTATCACTTTACTAATAGAAAAAGCCATCTAAAACGCGTATGTCCAACTAACACGATTTTGAGCGAAAATACTTGATTGTAGAGTTTTCCCAATGATGTGGACAACCTTCCTTACAAGGCTCAAGTATTAAATGGGAGCCTTTCAGATTATAAAAGGAATTTGTGAGCTAAAAGATCAATTTCTGGGAGAGACTTTAAAGTTGTTCACTTTTTAAATTTTTCGTTCTCGAATATGTGCCTATGTATATGTACATGTGGCTAGCTTCTTTCACCACTGTATGCAACTACCCCTGAACGAACCTCTTCCGGAAAGCTTCGCATATAAACGTCAGAAGCAAGAGCCATCTTATAAAAATTACTTACGAAAACCAAAAAATATCAGTTTGCTATTTCTACAGTGATTTGCAATTTAGGAATGAAGAAAGTGCTCTGTCATGGAGATTTGTGGTCGACGAACTTGATTTGGAGAAAAGGAGAAAAAGATCTGGAACTGGCCGCTGTCGTTGATTTCCAAGTACGTGATTACAGCTTTTTCATAACTTTATTTGCTAGATCAGAGCTTTTCGCCCGCATTATCTTGTGTCTCTACCCAAAGTAAGTTTCTCACTAGTGTAACAAACTCTATATCGAGCAGTGAAGGTGGGTGATCCAAAAGCGACGAAAACAGGGTTTAAAGTGCGAGAGAGATTGTAGCGATATACAAGGGCCAAAGTTTTTTTTTTCATGAGCAACATTTAGTGCGGTAACAACATGATCAATAATGAAACAGAAGTAACAGGTCATGGAGTAATATTCAAATGGGCACACCTTTTTTTTTNTTTTTTTTTGGTCCAGCACCAGTCGTTATCCGATGGTGATGTCCCTCAAGAGGCAACTAGCTCAAGTTCCCTGGGTCAAGCTCAAGCTCTTGAGCTCGGAAAAAATGAAACAGGAAGTGGTTCAAAGTGAAATCATCGCGAAAAAGCCGAATTGTCAATTGGAAGAAAAACGAATTCCATATCTTTCAAAAAAGAAAACGGATAAAGTCAGCGGTAATGTGTAGGATAATCCGGGAATGGGAATAGCTCAAATATTCCCCTTCGACAAAAAAGGGCATCCTGGGCTGTCGATACACTTCCAACTATCGACTAAATCATAGGTCGTTTTAGGTGCTCCTAACAACTTGACCTACCTCCCTGATATTTGAGTGCAACTTCCAAAACAACTAATCAACCATGAATACGTTCAAACCCGACTAGTCGATTAGACTCGGCAATCACATTACACTTGCTAGTAGTTGCTTCAATTTTCACGCAATTCCGTCGCGTGCAGCGAGCGGCATAATCGCGCGGCAGTTCATTTTGGATTGAGATATTCAACTTCTCCCATTCTTTACTGAAATTGTTTTCCTTCTCTTGGGAAAAAAATAAAACTCCATCAATGCGATCTCAATAGTAAATCATAAAAAGTTCCATGGATATTACAGCATTTTATTCACAGTGTGTCGTCCTATAAATATATCTTAGAAACTGTACAATATTCAGACAGCTCATTTTGGCCTTCCAACTACTGACATTACTCGCGTTTTGTGCGCCTGTATGAGTGGTAAAGACAGAAGGGACAACTGGGAATCGCTGCTTGAGAAGTTCTACTCATATCTAGAAGTAGAGATGGAGAAGCATGATATGCCCTATACTTTGGATCAGGTATGACATCATTATAGATTGTAATTCAACTGAGCCGGCACCTATACTGTCAATTTCAGTTAAAAGAAGCCTATCGACAGTACTTTCCATTGGGAGCTTTCCTTATCGTGCCTATGATCGGACCTCTGTTCCAAGTAGTGAATACAAGCAACGATGTCGAGTATAAGGCGAAGGTAAGTAAGCTTAGGCAAGTCAGAATGAATTACCTGGCTTGAATTCTTTCTAGGAGTTATGCATCAGACCTGGTCTGCTTCAGAGACTATTCACGAGACCTGAATGCCCCGAATCAATGTTGAGCTCCAAATTCTCCCAAAATTTTCGTTCTCAAGAATGGTTTCTCCTTCCTACACGCCTCAAATCCTTGAATCACAACCCGTAATAACCCCTACTATAGTCCACCCATATTGATAGCAAGTCAGCTTGAAATAAGAAATTATCTTCACACTCGTTCCCTTCCCACAGCATAAACCTGGTATACTTCCTTCCAGATTTCGAAGGTTTTGCATCACATACCCAGGCCTGAGCTGGCCATTCCAGTTTGATTCTTGCCTAGTTGACCGATCAGATCAGACCATTTAACGATCAGAATAGGTAGAAATCCAGAAGGGTAGCAGATTCTTCTTAGCGTTTTCGGAGACCCATGCAAACATCTGCAGAACAGCCTGTTGCACTAGAAAAGTGGGTAGCCGAAAGATGCTAAGAACAAACTTCACTACCATCGGTCTTACTCCACTGCGCCACAAGTGGCAGAGTTGGTTAAATGAGAACCGATATGAATCCGTATATTACTCGGTAAAACCATTTGAATCAAGTAGCATATTGTCCGATACTGGTGGAGCTTTTGGTTCAAGAGTTACCCCCTACAATTATTGCTCATGAATTAATATAGTGCCCAACGTACTGTACTCGATTTTAGGTTGAGGAAGCGATTTTCGAGAAGGTCGAGTGCTTGTTGGAAGATATTTGCGAATTCCATCGGGAGAACAAACAACGCAGTGGAGATAAAAGCTTGTGATAAGAAACTCGCTTTACCCCAATGGGGCTTATGTATGATTACACAAATAAATATACATATATTGAAGCCAGTATAATGTATGCAGTAAAGCGTTTAAAATCAGGTAGTGGCAAGTCACGTCGCCAGAATGCCCACCAAGGCGAAATTAGTTGATTATTATTATTTATTGATTTTTTGGCTGTCTTTTAGGACGTTTGGGGATACATTCGCTTTCCACTTTCCCTGTTTCCCTACCCCATCCCTCCCGAGGTAATAAGGGTCTCTGATGTTCTATGATTGAGCGAAGCCCCAGGTCTTCGGTCTATTCTGAGCTCTTCAGTTGGTATCTGACCAGTTCCCCGAGTTCAGCTGTATTTGCAAAAAAGTGAGATTTGCAGGGATTGATAGCTAACAAATGCCACCGCCTTCCCAAGGTTCCTTGTTTGTTTATTTATTTGTGAACACAGAGGACGATTTAAAAACAACGACAGCTGTACTTTCAGTCCCTTAAATCGACTCAATTTACTTCCGCCGACTCTTGAAAATCGCTTTCTCCTGTAGGCGGAGACAGTAAAGCGCGTCTTTGCCGATTTCGCCGAGTCCACTTCGCTTTCTTTCCGTCTTCATCCATTTGTCAACATATCTTACGAGACTGTTTGTGCTGCTTGTTTGACCGACGATTGCGTCACCAAAGGAAGTTCCTTGAACCTGCGAACTTCAAGTTAGTCTGGCATTAAAGCTTTGGGGTCAGTCGAGCCTAAAATATTTCGCTACTGAAGTGATTGAGTAAAATATCAAAGCAATAATCCTCCCTGGAGCGGAGGTCGCAAGAAAGCGTAGCCTATCGGTAAGTCTATCTTGGCAGATAAAGCCGAAAGACCGAATCCCACACTCAGATTGATCAGATGCACCTCGAATGGACTGCAGTACTTCGCAGTTTTTCAAATCACAGCTTCAATAGCCAGCTGAAGTTTTCCATGAAGAGAAAGAACTAACTTCGCAGAATGCCTGGTTTCGACTTTACTTGGCAGCACCTCTTTGTTCGTACAAAGGACTACTACAAACGTTCCATGCCCTCAAATGGAATGTGATTCTACTTTCAAGTACATGGCGCAGAAAAGTATGCAGAGCAGTCCTTCTGTTTTTGTTATTAGGTACGTCTGTTGTACTCAACACCTCCATCACGTCGTTCTCGAGATCCTCTCAATCTTCGGCGACGATTTCTACTGGTTTCACGTTTGCTCGGTTGTTATTTGCACACGGTGCACCACCGTATTCCCACGCCACCACCGTCGACCGCTGTGACGTCAGCGGGGTCCACTCGTCTGCGGAAGGGCGTGACCTCACGACACGTAATTCAGCACGATCAGTTGCTCGATGTGATGAGTACCACCTTGCATCTGCCTGCTTCTTCTGCCAGCAGTTCCACATCGTCCACGTCACCTCCTGCCGCCGCCTCCAGAATATCCACCACATCCGACGGCTCCACTTCCCATACACCTCAACGGTAGGTTACCTATACCTATTATTACCAATGCATACAGTATGCCTGAAAAGTAAAGAGACGATGTAAACTGCGCTTTTCAGGGAGTGCACCCACTTCCTCGTGTAAAGCACCCATATAAAAAAGCTGCTAAAAAAGTCCGTAGTGGCAGACATATGAGTCAGCTTTTTCAATCTGTCTTCCTACTCCGACCCATCCTTCTTCAGAACACACCCTAAGCTAAGATGCTGTAGAATCTTCGCAGACTATCTCCTTTTCAGTAAAGACTAGGACAGGGCGCTGGTAGCACACTCACGATCCAAGAATGGAATGCTCGATTGTAACCGAACCAGGCAAACCAATCCTTCATCCCTGATGACTATGCAGAACCTTTCGAGCTGCGCAGCGTAATGAACCTTTTCGGACTCTAACCAATCTGTGAGCATTCTACAGCCTCCAACACGTTGAACATAGCTTTCCCACATATTCTTTCAAGGCAAATGGTTTGAACAAAACGGACTCTGCTTCAAGAAATCCTGCTCCTATTATTCTTTCTCCCACCTAATATTGCTGCTTACGAAGGTTTTCAGCTCCGCGTTACCCTGGCCTAGCTTAGCCCTACCCCTGACCCATGAACTTCGTGGTTAAGAAAAACGTTGAATCTAAGTGCTCTATCATTTGCGCACAATGTTGTGTCATATTCCGCCAACGGTTTCGAAATTGTTGCGCAACTCTAAGATTTTCGTAGGCATACATTGGCAGATTTTTGAGTCCAATAGAGGGCATTACCGCAAGCGGCAATACTCTGTAACATACTGGGGTCTATTATTGTTTTTTTTAAAAACAACCTATTCGAACAATGATGGATATACATATCGTCACTATCGGGATAGGTTGCTCCAAATTCCATGAGAATCTGTTCTAAGTGATGACATGGAAGAGAGAGCTCAGCAGAGCTCTCTTTCTTTTTAGGCAAGCTTTATAGAAAGCCGTAAGGTGGAAGAAAGTGGAGATGACCATCAGGTGGGGCTAGGAGAGGACGTCTGACATTATATGCGCCTGGGTTTTGAACTTTTCGAAAAGTCTTGGCAAGAGTCACCAATAAAGTTTTGTCTGTAAATAAAGAAAAACAAAAGTGAGTGTTATGTTGTGATAATCATTCTACTGACGTCCCATTCATTGTGAATTTTGAAAGCATCTAGTGTTAAATTCGTAAGTAGCTCTTTAGCGAAACCCAGAAGTGTATTAGTCGGTACCATCCCTGTACTTTACAGGGATGATGCTGACCAAAATATGGTAAATTATTGTAAAAAATAGTAAATTATTATCGGAAGGGCTCACAATCAGTTCACTTTATGTCCTTTCTTTTTAAACACAATTTCCACCTTGTTCTCACTTTAGTTCCAGTCACCGGACCGACTCAAACGGTTCACCTTAAACATGTCCTGATGGTATTGAGTTCGTTAGCTAGATCGCTATGTTTGAAAACATAGCGATCAGGACTAAATGATGTTGAGACGCTGACATCTCTTTTCCTGCTCTATCCGAGGCTGATTTGATCCTTTCAAGCTGCTTCGTCCAAGACAAGACTGAGACATTCTCGATTGTGTCGGGGATCTCAAAAGCGAAAACGAAAAAAACGAAAATCGTAAATGCCAGAGGGCACTTCACCACCGCTTGCCATCTTTGAGTATAAGTAAGAGGCACGGCTTATCCAAATAATTCAGAATTAGTTTCCGATATATGGTTCTCTGCTATTCGCACGTTTCAATGAATACTCCTGTTCTGTGAAATTTAGTGACTTTAACACTTCGCTTTCATTTCCCTCCATTTCCATTTACTATACGGTGACATACTAAGCAATATAAAACAAAACCTAATCAAGAGCTCTGCCAACCAATTATTCGAGTAAGTGGGAAGGGCAGTAGCAGGCGTCTCTGCCGTTGTCGTCATTATATTGTTACAATGTTACAAAGACATCTCACCTTACAGTATAAGCTTCTCTGAATTTTTTGGTTTGACTCCCTGCCACTGAAATGTTATCCCACAAAAAAAGGGGCTTTCGACTTAGTGGTGGGGGACGACATAAAAAATAGCTTGCTTAGTACGGCGCTCCGGATTTTTTAGGAGGGTACGACCAAGTACACACCACAAACTTTCAAAAAAGTGCCGGTTTTTAAGAGGGAGGGCGGGACGGGGAAAAGGGTAAGGGAAGTGGACTGGAGACCAGAAAAGCATGCAACTGTTCTAACCTCATCAAAGACTCCTACCCAATCCCGTCATCAGATGCGAAACCACAACCATTCACTACTTGAATGACCGATTGCCGTTTGTTTTCTTTACCTGCCCATACCTATCCACACTCCATCCCTTCCCCCAACCGCCTCGCATCTCAAAAACCGAGATGCTCTTATCACTCTATTTTCCTTTCCAGACGAAATTGAGACGTCCCCGAAGTGCAAGTCCGGAAAGACGATGATGACCTGCTGTGTTGAGAGTGGTCCGCAGACGTGTGACGTCACACGAGGTTTTGAAATTGAGACGAGTCTGACAACAACAAAGCACAATGGCAGTTCTCCAATAATCTTACCTCGACCCTTCTATCTTATAAGGATGTCGGACTCCATCAAGGGCACGAGCCCTTACAGCCCACAGACCTGAAGTTCCTGATTCGGAGTACGTCGTCTCCGCAGTGTTCAGTTTCACAAGCGGCACTGACCGACCTCATTCGCTGAATATCCGCGTTCGTCGTTCTGTTTGGTCACTTTCGTGGCCGGCGGCGCGGACGCTTTCTCGAAGTTCAAACAAAACTCTCACTCTATAACAGCAAATACACGACGGTCCACGACGACGTAGTGTAGTAATCGCGCACGATCGCGTGTGACGTCACACGTCTGCGGACCACTCTCAGCACCGCAGGTCATCATCGTCTTTCCCGGACTTGCACTTCGGGGACGAAAGGGCATGAGGAAGGGGTAGGTGGAGGGAGAAAGTCCTAGAGACAACGTCTATCTATAGAAAATTTGGTCTACATCTGGTTAGAAAGCTGGTGGGGCTAGATAGACCTTATACAGGAAGACAGTCAAGATTAATTCTCGAAAAAAATTGCTAGACCTTCGTAATTTTATAAGCAAGTGACTTTGCCCTTTGGCAGTTCGTCTTCCACCAAGTCTCTGGGTTGTAGCACATACTAATAAAAAAGTGACGACCTCCCAAGTTATTTTTTCGAAGATGACAGTAATATTTGCCAGGGCCTGCATTGGAAGTTTTCTGTCTTTATCTGGACAAGCTCCACAGTCTCAGGGAGTGCATCCCTTTGACGGAAGATAAGTAAGTTACGGATGCAACAAACTTGGACTCATATCTCTAATTTGGACTGTTAAGGGTTCTACTATCCCCACAAAAGCTTATTTCCCTACATCGCTCACTCGAATGATTTTTTCCGCGTGACAATTTTATAGTGCTTAGGAAGAAGGAGGGAAGTGCAGCTTGGTGTTTATTGGGCCTTTCTGTAGCAGTTGAATTCCCATCCCTGTAGTCTTGTTCCTTTGATACAGTTTTTAAAATTGTTGACAACTTCGCTGTGGAATCCCCATATCCCACCAGACGTCATACAAGATTATGTGCAGATCACGGTGTACA